TTTTTTTTTGCATAGAATATTGCGACAGTTTTTTGGGGAGTTTTTTGTTTGTTTGTTTTTTTTTCTTTTATCAGGATGTTTTTTGTAGCTGTGAGAACTCAGACACTATTAGTTGTCTACTGCACAAATTTGGTCTTCATGGAAGAGTGGCAAGAAAAAAATAAATAAAAATATGTGAAAGAAGGTGCAGACCAGATCAAAATTGAACTTCCTCTGCAAAATGCAAAACTATCAGTGGTGGAGAGCTGTACATCACTCCACCACTGTGGTACTGTGTGTACATTAATGAGAAATAAAAGGAACTTTTTTGATTTTAGCAAATGGCTGCAATGAAACAAACAGTGAAAATTTTAAAAGGATCTGAATACTTTCTGTACCCTCTGTGAATACAGCAAAAGATGGTTCTACAAAGTATTGACTTACTGGGCTGAATACTTTTACACAATACCATTTTCAGTGTTTCGTGAAAAATACCAAGTATTTTTTTCTTGAAACTTTACAATGGTATACCACTTTGTGTTTGTCTTTAACATAAGATTCCCCAAAAAATATATGCATGCTTGTTGTTGTAATATAGCAATATGTGGGAGATTCTAGGGGTAGGAATACTTTTGCAGTGCATTGTAATCATCAGAAATGAAAGGTACATTGGTGTCCTGGTATAATTGATTGCTTTCTCCAGGCACCTCTTCATGCTTGATCCAGGATCATAAAGTAACACAATTCACTTTAGAAAAAAATGAAAGTAAGGTGTGCCAGAAAGGTCCTTCGAAAAATAAGCTGCTGGAAAACCTTAGGTCATACCATCCATCTGGGTGCTAACACCTATCACCACCACCAACCTAGGCATTGTTGCACACCAACACCCATACATAGAAACAGTATTCCCAGATTTATTTAACCTCTTTTAGCAGGATTAAGTGCATGCTATAAAATTTCCAGATTTTTCTTCTTCCACTAAAGAGGTTGCCAAAACCCTCTGGACTAACATAGTTCGTTTCCTCAGCTTGCCTGTTTAAAGTATCTGTTTCCTGCTGATATTTCATATAATCTGCAAATTTATATTCATTTGTTTTTCTCCTTTCCTCCATAATCACTACTTCTGGTATGCTGTTTGAACTTAAACATTTGTGGAATGTGGTGAAGGAAATCTGAACCGTGAAAGTCTCAGCTAAAATCTCACAGGACTTAAATGATCTTGGTACCAGACACCAAAGCAAACTTTCAGAGAAGTGGAGGAGTTAGTGTCTCTTTGGGTCAAAGCTAATTTGAAAGCCAAAAAGGAAGGAAATGCTATATGCAAACATATATATTTCAGGCTATGTTGTCTTGAGATTATATTGATTTTAACTCAGTTTATTAATATAGCCCCAATTCACAACACCTCATCTTAAGGCTGCTGAAGATTCTCAGTCATCCAGGTCATAGTCATTCCAAAAAAAGGGGAAGCTTTTTCGAGTTGGAAAAGCTTCCTGAATGGGAAGCAAAACGTCTTCGATCTTGGAAACAAAGTCAAGTGGATTGTTTTTTTGTTTTTGTTTTTTTTTGGAAAGTCATCTTCAGGCACTTTACAAGGACAATTCAATCAAATTACACAGACAGATTGGTTAAAAGTATCCAATGCAAAGAACTACAACAGATCCCTGAGTCACTGACTTTGCAGAAATCTACTCCTACTGGATAAGGAGACAGCTGCTTACATTGGCTTGTTGACTTTCCAGCAATCTCTCATACCAAGTAGGCATGCAGAAAGGAAAGACAACTCCTACAGCACAAAGCCAGTATGAACGGCCTTCTTCTACAAGCGACTGGGGGTGAAATGAAACACATAAGCACTAATTGAAGAATAGTTTTCATGAAGAAAAAATAAAAGTTAATGGTAGGAGCAGCTCTTTTACCATGAAACACATCCAAGCAGAGCTCTGGGCCAGTTTTCAAGTCAATGTTGGATATCAAGTTACCTTTCAAGCAAGGTGGATTGGTACGAGATTTGTTAATTTATAAACTCCAAAAAACACATCTTTCCAGATGCCAACAGATGCATCAGCTCCGATACAGAGATGTTTTGGACCAATGAAGTGCAGTGACATCTATGACATCAACCAAAGACAGGAGGCTGAAGCAAAGCAAAAATGGCTGTGCTGGTTTTATCTGGAATACCCTCTCTTTCTTTCTTTTTTTTTTTTTTTTTAAGCAAAATAAGCTATTTTTTCCTTTGTAGATGGAAAATCCACAAATTTGTTTCTGCATTCATGCCGACAGGATTTGGTAAGAGTTTGATTTATCATTTAACTCCACTAGTTGTGAAACAAATCAAGAAAGTGATTAGGCACAGCTGCTACTGCTGCTGTGAATGGCTAAAACCTCGACATGGGAGGAAGGAGCCACTTGGTGGTTTACCTAATCAACTTGAAGAATTCTACTGAACGCCTCCTTTTTGCAAACATGAGGCTTTCCAGGTGGATAGTGTAGTGGAATTCAGATTGAGCTACGCCTATCAATCTGGTTTATGCCAGATTAGATAAAAAGGGCCTATACAGTTAATCACAGTAAAAGCTCAGCCAGTATCCCTCCATGATAATGTTGCTAAAATTAGACAGAACTAGGAAAAGGAGAATTTAATGGTAAAGAATAGAATTATATCCACCAGTTGCCTACCACTATAGCAGTATAGCTATAGAGATAGATCAGGATAACCTTAGCCGCTCCATCTATGTGTTTTATTGAAAAGCACAGTTTAAATTCTAGAAGTAGACAGGGTGTCTGCCTCACAGACTTAAGAGTAGTATAAAAGAGGAGCCTGACAACCAAAATATCGGCCTCCTCTTCTGCTTTCTCTTTAAATCCTTTTAAATAGAACACAGCTCAATATACTACATCATTTATCCATATTTCCATATTTATTTATTTGCACTGCACTGAACTTTTCCATAGCAATGCGTTTTGCTCAAGGTGTGTGCATTTCACTGTTTTAAGCTCCTCTTCCCCCCTTTTTTTTCAGAATTATGACAGCTAACAAAACATGTTAGCATTAAGCCATAGCCATGTCTGTTTTAGAGACTAAAAAAGTCAGAATTCTGCAAAAACCAAAACAAAACTTCTTTGACAAAAGTCAGAATTCTGAGAAAAAAGTTCAGAATTCTAAGAAAAAAAAAAAAAAAAAA